ATATTTCTCGTCCCTTTGGCATGATGGGGGACGAAATGATTCCCCCCTCTGTACTGTCCTCAGAGGCGTTACAGGAGTGAGACAGGATGAGCAGAGCCAGCGAGGGAGCACAGCGCTGTGTGTGTGTGTGTGTGTGTGCATGTCTGACTGTGTGTATATGTGACGCTCCAGCTATGCCGTGCTCTCTCGCTCTTCGGCAACACCTAAAAACGATGTCAATTCACAGACTGGGTCGATTTACCTTGCCTGGAAACAAAAAACATTTTTATTTAACAACTGAGGTCCGGACCTTGCTGATATGATCGCCTGCCTCCATTTCGATTGAAGAGGCTCGTTAGTAACTTGTAAAAATAGAGAGCAGAAAAACACCGGCAGCATCAGTTTAAATAACGGGATTAGAAAGATCGTTATATCCCAAACCACTACCCCTTCACAGTGTCACCCCTCGTCTTCCATGTAAATGTGGAAGAGGCGAGATTGTTTGAGCAAGTCATCCCACCGCCGTGTCAGCATGGGAGGAGGTAACAGAGGCATTTCAGCGGTGTCACAGGATCACTGTAAAAGTCTGAAGAGGGCAGGGTAGAAGAGTGCTGTGGGAGTTATTGTGACACACTAAATGTAAAACACACAAACTCCAACTTTCTCATGCCTAGGGGTCATTAGGACCCCCGAATATTTAAAATCAAGGCCCTTGAAATACTTAATTATCTAATTAATTAACCATGCGAATAAATCACAAACACTGTGTTTCTACATCAGCTGAGAGAGATATTAGAGTGAAGACAGTGACAGAAACAGCTCTCTGTACATGTGCTGCAACCTTATAACACACACACACACACACACACACACACACACACACACACACACACACACACACACACACACACGCTGTCCAGTCGTATAAACCCACATGTGAGGCGCCCCCTCTTATTTAATGCCCCCCTGGATGATGGAATAAAGATAAATGTGAGTGTCCAGCAGGGCTCAAATCAATCAGCGTTTGTGTGTATTACTTATTACTCACAGTGCATTTCTGTCACAGGGCTTTTGTGTAACCCCCCCCTCATCACCCTCCCCGACCCCCCTCCCTCCCTCACTGCCTGCCTGCCCTGCACTCTTCTATCAGCCCCCCCCCCCAACCCTGCAAACATCACCCGCCATGATATTATTTATGGGGGTCGGACTTTGAGCTGAAATATAAGAAAGGTCAGAGAATCAAACGGGATGGACCGCGAAACGGTGGCTGGAGGGTGTTGGACATGGACATGGACATGGACTGTGTGTGTGTGTGTGTGTGTGTGTGTGTGTGTGTGTGTGTGTGTGTGTGTGTGTGTGTGTGTGTGTGTGTGTGTGTGTGTGTGTGTGTGTGTGTGTGTGTGTGTGTGTGTGTGTGTGTGTGTGTGTGTGTGTGTGTGTGTGTGTGTGTGTGTGTGTGTGTGTGTGTGTGTGTGTGTGTGTCCCATATGACATTTTATCGGAGCGTCACTTTCCATTGGTCACAACTGGGGAGTTCTTTATGTAGTGGTTTACAGTTTCCATTGAATCTGATGGTCTATTTTTTCCTCCATCTTGTCTTTTTTTGTACCTCCTGTCTTTTTTCTACTCTTCCTCATGTGCGTGTGTGTGTCCCAGTCATTTGCCGTATGTGTATATTTCCTGACACCCTCTGGATGTGACCCTCCGTGTAGCCGCCGTTCATCACTGTCATGGGCGGAGACGCCACCGCTGACCTGTGGAAGGTCAGCCAATGTCACCCCGAGCCTCAGACCTTTTACCGTCGCCCTTTGACTCCCCTTCCCCCTTCCCCCCCACCACCGCTACCGCCACCCACCTGAGTCTTTATATCACCAAACCTGATGTACGCTGGGATTAAACGTCACATATCCATTTTCTGCAACAATATGTCTAATTTGTAAATGAATAAAAATGAAAGATTATTAGCAAATTTATCTGTTTCTAGTAAAATTCAAACAACACAGCACCAAAAACTAAATTTGTGGGCACAATTTTTATTGGTAATTTATTGTTTTATCAACAACATTTGTGGGGAGCAGGCGTTTTCTTCTTCTGTGCTTTGATTGATTGCTGGAGATAACCCTCCTATTACAAAGTGAAAGCACATAAATCAAGTGAAATAGATGGCCGAGTCAATCATATTTTGGAGTATGCAGATGTTTAATTCCCTTCAGGTCGTCAGACTTCTCGATACTTTGATAGTTTTTAATACCACAAGTTTTAAACAGGTTTGGTACCGAAGAGTTGTCAACACATTTGTGCAATTTAGAGAGTGTGCAGGAGTTTTTCTTTTTGATTAAAACAAGAAATGACCTGACATTTGGTGCCTAGGACTTCTGTTTTTGACGTGGATTCAAAACTTAGTTATTGATATAATTACGTTTTTAATAGTATCGTATCAAACTTTGGGAATCAGGTTTTGTGACAACTTTAAATCCTCAATACTTAAATTCTGTGTGTGTTGTGATCATGTTTGTAAGGAAGCGATGAAGCACGGGGCGGCTGGGGTCAATCCGTCATGCGTGCGGGGAACGGGCCACTCTGGGACCAGGTGTCAGTGAAATGATGGATTTTAATGCTGTGATTATAGTTAATGGCTCTTAAAATTAAATCGAGATTAAACTCTCCGGCTGCAGTCAGAGATCGAGCGGGCACGGAGCAACTTCACCCCCCCCCCCCATCCTGTCCGTCCTCTTCGTCCTCACTCTTAAACTTTCTTTACTTTACATCAACAAACTCTCACAGAGCAGAAATTCTATACAGCAACAAACAAAAAAAGTGTAATTGATGTATTGCTTGAGTTTAGACTCGTCAGGTTGATTTAATTCACACAGAAAATCCATCGCTCAGTCTTTAAAATTGTCTTTTGTAATATTTCCTTTTCTTTTTTTTGGGGAGGGGGCTATTTTTGCCTTTACAGTATTAGATAGGACAGCTAAAGAGAGACAGGAAATATTGGGAGGAGACAGTTAGGGGGGCAATATGCAGCAAAGGGCTGAGGCAGGATTCAAACCTACGACTGTAGCCTCTGTACGCGGGACGCACAGCATAACCGCTCGGCGGTGATTAACAGCACTTAATTGTTAAGTGACTTTTTTTTGCAGACAATTCTCGATTGTATTTCACCTCCTTCAAAAAACACAAGTTGATTCTACTCTGATTACAACATTTATCACCACCTTTTTCTTATTCCCTAAAATTAATATAAAACAGGACATTTTGACCTTTAACCTTTTGGTTGGAACATCTTTATAGAGCTCTTAAATAGGGATGTTTTTTATTTCTATACTTCAAACCTTTTGTCTCTCTTTTCATGATATTCTACTTATTGTCTGAGCTGGAACCGTTCTCCTGCCGTCTGAATCTCACATCTTCTTCCATTTGCTGCTTTCAAAGTTGCAGGATCGGGATGGCGAGATATAATTGGGCCCATACATCCTGCACAGGCACTATGGATTAATTCAAGTATGCTAATGTAATTCAATTTGATACAGTTAATCTTGCACTAATGCAGATTGAAGGATGTGAGGCGCAATCAAATACCTCTTAGCCTTTTAATTTGCATCAGAGTTTTTTAAATAAAATTAGTCAATTTGTAATTATGTGACCTGGCCCGTAATTAGTTTATTCATCAGCACAGTTAACTCCCCATTAGGAGAATCAGAGAGAGAGGGGAAGGAGACGTATTTATTATTCAGAATGAGAACACTCGCAGCATCAATTTGTCTCATTTAATCTGCAGCTTCACGCTGAATCATGTGCTGTTTCAGAAACATCTCCGACTTGTGATTGGATAATAATAACTAGAGGCTGGTGGGATCTGATCACACAGCTGCAGGAGAGATTTCTGCAGCGTTCAAACACTGAGGTTATACTCTCTGTGTGATTTATTTAACCCTTTAACTCTACAGGCTGTTCAGTGTGCTGCTCTGTATTATTAGACAGACATGTTGGAAACTAAAGTGACCTAAAAGAGGAGAGGAGAGGAGAGGAGGAAAGAAGGAAAGAAGGAGAGGAGAGGAGAGGAGAGAGTTTTTTCCGGTTTTCAAATTCCTATTATTAAAAAAAAACTACCAGCAGAAATTGCATCAGAGAGGAGATGAGAGTATTAATGTAATTTTATGCAGACAACAAAATGTTAGTGATGATCATTCGGGCAGCAATGAAGAAAATAAAAAGATAAAATTATAACAAATGAAAAGAGCAGATACAATACAGAAATTCAAATAAAGAACATACAACACTAATGTCTATATAAGAAAAGAGAACAGATGCTAATGACAGATTTAAGAGATCGGATCCATTTGAAGACGAAATAAGATAAACCTTTATTCATCCCACAACTGAGAAATGTACTGTGTTACAGCAGCACAATACTGCAAGAAGTGTATTATAATTATAAATAATAAAAAATACCTTTAAAGGAACTGTTGTTGTTTTTAAATATCAAACTTAAACACCTTTGCACTCTGCTAAAAAAAAAAAAAAAATTTATTCAATAACATAACCCAAAGAACTTGACAAGCCATTAATTAACCTGCTGAAAGTGCCGAGTGATTATAAATGATTGCTGCTTATCATTATTGGGTATCTGTTACTGAATCTTTTCAAACTTAAATTTTCTGGGCTACTTTAGATGGATTTTATTTTTAGAGGGCTGGCAGGAAACTATCTGCGTAAAGTCTGAGCTTCAGATGTCGATGTTTACGTTCACACATTCAGCTCACCCCGAACATCTCCAGGAATTTACCAGGTTTTATTTTTCAGGAGTTTTGTGGTCGTGTGAAATCACCATGTTTTATATAATCTGTCTCATGGTGAATCTTTGCAGGTTGTTTTTATCTTTCACAAATAAAGAGGAACAAATGAAACATCTGAGGGTTAACTCAGACAGAGAGTCATTTCTCCTTAAAGTCTGAATCAGCTTTAATGATGTTAAATTCTACTTTTGACTGACTGAGTTGAGTTTCTGTGTTTTGCAGTGCAAGTGGTCCAGAAAGGGATTCATCAGAACTCGATGGGCGCTGCCTGACTGGTGAGTTTTTACTGCATTGAAACATTACACTTCATGTTGCTTTGAACCCTGAATCAGTGTGATCAGAGATGAAGATCAGACCCTGACGGTCCAGGTCTAACTCTCCCTGCTGCTCAGGTCTGAACCCTCTCTGGACGGTTTGCTGCAGAGACCAGCAGCGATTTGATTAGATGTAATCTCGTTAGACAAGCAGTTCCATATGACAGATGACAGAAAACATTACATGCAATTGAAGCGCTGTGGGATGAATACAAACGCTGGCTTCCAGTGTGCAGAGCAGGGGATCGGGGGGGGGGGGAGAGAGAGACGGGGATTGTAATCTAATAGAGGGATGACATGAGAACTAAGGAGCTGAAACGGTAAGCATTTAATAGGGGCATAACGTTTGACAGGAGAAGCGGGGAGGGGGGGTGTGGAGGGGGGGGGGGGTGTGGAGGTGGGCTATCAGATCAGAGATAGTCAGAGACGTGCATGTTTTCATTTGTTGGGCATGTCAGTGCAGAATAAACCTCTCGAGATAAGAGTCGTTCCTGTAGAGCAGCGTGCTAACAAACAGCTCAGACTGATGGGATCAGCAGGGAGCTGTTCATCACTCTGTGGAGAGAGATACCCCTCCTCCCCCGAGAGGACAAACTGACAGGAACCAGGTTTCTGTTTGTACGTCATGATATCCACAGGGAGATAATAACTAAAAGAAGCTTTCAGCTTTATGTCCCTGTAAGATGTTCTTTTTAATTTCAGGTGCCTGTTAAAGGCTTAATCTTTTAAATCATCACTGACGTTCTCATCTGATGCCTTCATTCATAAATGTCTCTCTCTATGGATTGTATTTCATTACATGTAAGACATATCAGTGAACAACTGTCAGTGCTCACAAACGTCATGCCACCCCTGCATAGTTCACTCCCCCACGTGGGCCACCCCAGCTGTGTAGACTGTGGCCCCCTTCCTTCATTAAGTTTTGCATTAAACACAACTTAGTTTTTTTTACAGGTAGTCTAAGTTTGAACTCGGGATGGGGGGGGGAAACAGGCTCTGAGGGTTTTACTAAGACGCGGGACTTATCCACCATGAGTTCTTTCTATGAAAAGATTGCAGCATGTTAGCCAGAACCAGTGTTTGATGGAAACAATCAATCTAGTTTTTTATTTATTTAGCTTCATTACACATTATTAGAACTGCATGATCAAACATTTAAGTCCGTACATTTAAGGCGAGGCCATCAGCCGGTACAGCGAACCCCGTGAACCCACTCAGACTTGACATGTGATCCAATATGATTTTGTTTGATTCCAAACCCTAATCCAAACAGTGAGCTTTTATCAGCCTTTAAGTCGCTGATGATAACTGCATTAAAACGATAAGATCAGTTGATGAAATAATGAATCTACAAAGCAGTGGATGTCCGGGTCCAATCGGGTCACTCAGGCCTCTCTCTCTCTCTCTCTTTGATTGCAGCTCCTTTGATCTGGTCAACATCCACCTTTTCCACGATGCGTCCAACTTGGTGGCCTGGGAGAAAAGCCCGTCTGTGTACTCCGGGACCAGGCAGAAGGCGCTGGGCTACGTCTTAGACAGGTAACACACACACCTGGCCACACCTCCACCTCTCTGCTGCTTTTTCATCCATATTGAAGTCTTGATGAGATCTAAGGAAGAGTCTGTGCTCCTCTTTTCATTTATTTAACAGGCTGATTATGAAGCTGTACACCTTACCTTCAAGTTTTTGGATTTATTAAGGAGGATGTTGTCATGGCAACGGGGGTTTAGAGTGAGACAGGCGCAGAGCAGATTTTACTCGTAGACCAGCAGGATTATATCTGACTGTAAAGTTGGGGGTCTGACTCACTACACGGTCTGTGCACTCTCTTTAATCTGTTCTTTTTCCCTGCCTTACTTAGACGTGTTGTCTCTTCTTCTTCTGTGTCATCCTTCATCCATTCTCATTTTACCACCACCAGGAGAAGGATGCACGCATTTGTTGATTGGTCGTCTTAGTGATGTGTCCAAAACACTTGACAGAGTGTCAGTGGTCTCTGCCCCCTTCAGATAACCTTGGAAACTCTGTTTTTTATTAGGGCAAAGGTCACATCGGCTCACCCCAACTTTACGCCGAGTTACTTTACGCTTAGTTAATTTGTCCTCAGTAGATATCTCAAATGTTTGCTCTTCTTATCTCATTTAGAGTTCCATTAGATATTCAATGTTTACAGAGATTGAACCTTAACGTGTAGGTGACTCCCCTAAATGTCTCTGTTGCGCCATCATCAAGCCAAAACATGTCCCTTGAATAATTATGCAACAATTATGCAATCAAATTACAATCTAGGAAGAACAGAATCACTGTCCTGAGGATGGTCATATATATAAACTGAGTGGATTTATTGTCCTATGGGCTCGGTCTCTCAGGTCAAATCACTGAACTACGTGCCATAGCTGTGGGAATTGATCCACAGAGGACTAACCCCAAACTTTTAGAACACCCTTTGACTCTTACTGTTGCAACACAATGAGGTGGAAATGTCCAATTTTACAAATTCCGATCATGACCTAATAGGCAGATTGCCATGCCACTTAGACATTCTTCCTCCCAAGAGGGACGATAAAGTCAACATTATTAATTTTCAAAGTCTGAATAAAGATGTCTTCCCCCCTGCTCTCTGGAAAGCCAGCGTCTGTACAAACAGGCTATCCGTTCCTAGGCCACGCTGTGATTTATGGGATATCCATTTACAGCGGTGCAGAATGAGAGAGTGCACAGTGTAACCTCTGCTCCTCACCTGAGCGTGCTGACACAGTATGAAAGCCCCCGCAGCAGGTGACCTCCCATTCAAACAGCATCCCCCCCCCCCCCCCCTGCGCACACACTTTGAATAAGTACATGCACATATGGGTGGCATACATTATCACCGTGAGTGTGAAATATGAGGCTAAAGTGTTCTCTATGAGGTCGTATTTCACCTGTGCTTGATTCTTGATTTGATGAAAGAAACAGCCCACATTTAATGGACGGGACGTTTAGAGAATATGGCAGCTTTTGCATTTTTTTATCACCTGGATTTACTGGCATAATGAAGTTTCAAAAGGGCCTTACATTCAAGTGTTTTCTTTGTGTTTCCTCTGCCTCCATCATGCTCTTTCACTTGATTTATTTTTAAAGGTTCCCTTGTAAACACACCTAAAGAGCGGAGATTTAGTTGGGTGTCTGGGGGGGTTGAATAGAAGTGGTGTTGGCTGAGTGGCAGTTTCCACGCTCCCTCTTTCTAAATCCCCTTGTGTTGTGAATGCTAACCCTGTTGTTACTTCTGGGCCATATCATTTAAAGGTTCCTTTTTTTGACAGGGGTGGGGATGTGAGACAAGGTGGCGGCGGCGGCGGTGGTGGGGTGGTCGTTATATGCGCCTGGTGTTCCCTGCTCAGGGGTACAGGGGTGGGGTGGCAGTGGCATCGCGCCTCACTTGCTCACTTTGGGGGAGACCGTCGGGCGCAGATCCGGAGCAGCAGAGTGAGAAAAAGCTGGCGGTGCAGAGGGGAAGAGAGGAGGAGCACAAAGGCTGCTCGGGCTCTGTAAAGGGCAGTGAATAATGGGTCGGTCCTTTCACAGGGGCTGCTAACCTTTTGGCAGCCACCAGCAAACTCCATTCTCCTCCGCCGATCCTGGAGGACAATGTGCCCGGGCCGCGCTTTGAATGAAGCGCTACCACCAACAGTGTTCCCATTCAGCGGCTGGTTGGGAACCATCTTTTTGGCCATTGTCCTGACTCTGACTCCTACCCCCAGAAAGCAGAGCAGGAAAAGAGGACAGGGGGAATAACTAAAGCCAAACTCCCCCTCCTGTTTCTCTCCTCTCTCTCTCTCCTCTCTGAGCTCTAATCTCTCATTGCTGGATGGAAGAGGAGAGGAGGGGGCCGCTGAGCACACCGACAGCTGAGTTCCAGGATGCAGCCGGCACAGGAGCCCGATCACACAGCAGTGCTGGGGCCGGAGCTCTGCAGCCGGGGCTTCAAACCTCCACCTTATCTGGGGCCCAGGCCTCATAAAGCAGCTTACGGCCCCATTGAGAAGACATCTGATAAGCCTTTTCCTCTGTGGCCCTTTTAACTGCTAAACGGTGTTTATCTCCAAAGTGCTTCAAGGCCCTGAGGGAACAATGCTGAGAAGGAACAGCGTTTAGCCAGCCAGACCTCACCATTGAGTCACATCAACAACAAAAAAAGCGCAGCTCTGTTAGCTGTGCTGATGTGTGGGCCGCGAACATGAGAGGGAAACCCAGCTCTGCTTGAAATGGGACCCCCGCTTGTCTTCCTGTGCTTTGAAAGAGCTCACATGTGCTGAGTGTTTTTTACCCTCTGACTCGGCAAAGCTTTGAAGAAGAGAATCATTGTTTTATATTCATGTGGAGGTTTAATAGTTTTGATCTTCACACAATGTAAAAAATAGTTAATTCATGTTTAAAGAAAGCACTTTTCATGAGTTGTTTCAGTATTTCTGAACATTTAGAGAGTGAATGAATAGATACAGAAAGATCCTGCCTTAGCTGTGAAACAGGATGTAGCAGCTGTGATGTAATCATTGGTTGAAAATCAAATAACGTCCATTTTTGGTTACACAAACATTGAGTTAGATCTGAACCAACACTTTAAAATGTCACAGTCGCTCAATAAACAAGAACAAAAAACGAACATATTTGCCCAAATATGTAGATGTTTTTTTTCAAGATCGTCTTATATTTGTGGTCTATTTTTAAATGCCAATGAACAGATCCGTAACGCTCATGACTGAGGCCAGCTGTCACTCACAGCTGCAGTACCAGGTGGAGACACCAGGGGGAGACACTGTGATCATCCTGAGCAAAGTGGCTCAAGTCAAGTTAACGGACAACTCGGGCAAAGTTATCAAGCCAGTTTCAAGCTAACCTTGCTGACTCGTGCTCTGCAGGTGGGATGCGGCGCCACAAAATCGTGATGGAAACTGTCTTAAATTCAGGCCAGTTGTTCACCAGTCACTCCCACATTCTGCAGGTTAGATAATCACCTTTTTTCAAAGTGTGTGGCTGCTCTGAGGAGTGATAAGTGCTGTTTCTCAGTTTTTTTTAACTCGACAAAAAGGATCGTCTTTATTAGGATCATCTCCTCATGAAGCCATGAAAGTTAGTTTATATGTAAAATTAGAGCTCAGGTTTAAAGATACAGTAATTCCTCTTCAAGCAGTGATGTTAAAGTGTCTGCTGACAAGTGCTGTAAAGTTACAAGGAGCAAGGAATCCCTGCTTTCCTGCACAGGATGACTAATGTGACGGCTCATTTCAGATCTTTTTAGAGGACGGAAAACATGGCTACCAAATCAGAGCGTGAAATGGAAGCATGAGATAAAATCAACACTTTCTTTTTACCTCTTCCTTAAAGAAAAAAAAAAACTCCCTTTTGTACGTGTGAGTTTGTTTCTTTTTTCCAGCCTCCATTCAGAGCGGCTGGTCCGGTTCAGGGGAGAACAGTTTTACATTACAACTGTGAAATCCTGGCATAAAGGCGTCCTTTGTGGCCCTCCATTATTTTCACACAAATATAGTCCATTGTCACAGTGCTGAAGTTAATTTGATCAACATTGGGGACATTTAACTGTTTTGTTCGCTGAAAAGACTTGTTTCATGCTCATTTTCGGGGCATTGAAAAGCAATGATTGGCAGAAAAATAATGTTGCCGTTAACAATTCAAAGCAATTAGTTTCCCATGGGGAAGCAGTGGGCCGCACTGGCCACCACACAGCGATGCTTTGTCATTTTATGGACGGTCATCAGTCAACTGTCACAGCGTCTCAAAGAGCCCTCCAATCTAAATGTTTCCCTTTAGGCTTTTCCCAGAACAACAGGCTGAAAGAGAGGAGGGAGGCCGGCCGCTTTCCAGCCAATAGACATGTTGAGCTGCAAGAGGGAGGACTGGATAATCACAGGAGATCCTCCATAATGCCAGGATGAATTTATTAAACACAGCAGTGAGGGAGTGTGTGTGTGTGTGTGTGTGTCGATAACACTTGATAGCATTTGTAATTTCTAATGCATATTTCAAGTCTGGCATGTGCAGAACAGACACTCGTTTTGTTCTTCCTTTACATACAGCAGCTATTTAAAAGAGACATACGTGTGTGTGTGTGTGTGTGTGTGTGTGTGTGTGTGTGTGTGTGTGTGTGTGTGTGTGTGTGTGTGTGTGTGTGTGTGTGTGTGTGTGTGTGTGTGTGTGTGTGTGTGTGTGTGTGTGTGTGTGTGTGTGTGTGTGTGTGTGTGTGTGTGTGTGTGTGTGTAAACTGCTTTCTCACCCTGGGAGGCCTGCAGGAGCAGAGGTTAATCTTCCTCAGTGTCCCTCTGCTCATAGTGGGCCTGTTTATTTCTCTCTCTCTCTTACACACACACACACACACACACACACACACACACACCATGCTCCAGCAGTCTCTTAAAGGTGTGGGGACACAGACGTGTAGAAATCTCTCTCCAGCACCTGAAAAGAACATTAACTTGATTTCTTTTTAAACTCTTTGTTCTTTGAGTCGCGCTTCTTTCCTGCAAAAACAGTTTTTAGCAAA